ACAATTACATCACCAGGGATATACTTCAGTATTCTATGTTAATAAAGTTTTGAAGTGCAATAAAAATTTTATTTAATTAATTAATTTATTTTTGGTCCTTTTGAGACAAGGTCTCCTGTAGCCCCAGCTGGCCTGGGACTTGCTGTGTAGACCAGGCTGGCCTTGAACTCACAGAGATTCGCCTGCCTCTGCTTCCCAAGTGCTGGGATTAAAGGCATGTGCAATCACGCCCAGCAAGTCTTGTCTTTAGACATCTAAATCAAAACACTTAAGAGCTTGAGCATACCAAATATTCTTTATTTTCACTAACTCATGTTTGCTCTGAAACACCAAGGATCCATTAAGGAAGTCTATTAAAACACAGCAAGCACAAGGCACTTCCCTTCCTGATCAAAGAAGTTAACTTAGAGGCCTAGCTTCTTTCCTTCTAAAACTTGCCACTAGATTTTAGAAACTGAGTTCCCCGAAGTAAAAATCACCACAGGCATAGTTCCTCAGAGGTACAAAAACAGCAGCAACACTTACCGTGAATATCACTGTTTCCAGAACCTAAGGGTGATTTCCTGTTACAATAAATGATGAAAGCATCTTAGAAGGAATTCAATATACCCCAAAATACAGCACTGAAAAAGCGCTGTGACTAAGTCTATTGCCTTCCTTGAAATCTATGTCCTGAGCATATATACAATAAGGAAACCATTTGCTGAGGCCCTACCAGGTTTAAGGTACACTGAATTTCTCCCTCCAATTGTTCATATTTATCGAATACTTAACTAGACACATGGTATTATAATTGACACTGTAACAATTTAAAATGGGTGATCTCACCTTTAACGCATTGAACAATTTGGAAATTCCTAAGTGTAGCAGGAGGCCTCCAAAGATGGTGCAGACCCAGAGCCCTGGGATTCAGCGAGAATTCACTTCACTTCTTGGTCCGCAAATAGCCTGCCAAAAGGAGCCCATGCCTCTGTACCCTGCTTGCAAGCCCAGTAACTGCTGACAGACTGCGTGGTGCGGACCAATCAGAAAACAATACACTGACTAAAAGGACTTGGGGGCGGAGAAAAGGGAAATATAAGGCCTGCCCCCTCCTGCATTAAACGAGCCTGCAGCACCTTGCCTAGTAACCATCCTGCCTCTTCCCCTGCTACCATGCCCCTCCCTCCTAGGCTGCCCTCCTTAAAGCCTCACCCGCCTTTGTCCGCATTTCCGGTTAATGTTGGCCCTGATGCGGTGCAGTGTCCATGGCTGCCCACCCCACTTGCTGACCTCGTTCTTATCCACAAGGCAGCTGAGCAATTGGGCCCTGACTCCCCACATTTCAAACACGTTCTTCGCCAGTGGTCCTTACAGTTACAAACCCACTATGATTGGTATAACATACTAAAGGCAGTCTTAGAACCCTCAATCTTTCTAAACTGGAGCACAGCCTATGATGATTAGGCTGAAAACCAGGCATGCCTAAATCCCCAATATGGCCTCAACATTACATTGGACATGCTCACGGGACATGGACAATATACTGACCCCATCTCCCAGTCTACTATTGGCCTCCATGCCTATTTTCAACAAGTTTCTGACTTGGCCTTTAAGGCCCTTAAATGTTGCTCCCCCTGTGACCCACAAGACTTTTTCCGTAATTTGATTCAACAGTCAGAGGGGGAGTCCTTCATGGACTTCCTTACCAGTGTCACCGAGGCAGTAGAGCAGAGAGTGGAGTCTGGACCCACCTGAGAGGTGCTTATCAGTTAACTTGCAAGGGACTAAACATCCCTACTCATAATGCTATCACACCTTTCCACAATGAAATGGGTACTCACTACTAGAGACTTAGACCCCAGGGCAGGCCCTATTGAGGTTTTGACTGCTTCATTGGAGACTCTTTTGTGGCAAAAAAAACCCACCCACTTTGGCACACAGGAAGACTACTGGAACTGTGGGGGTCTTGGGCACTTTTGCAGCCACTGCCCAAAAGGTACAGCCCACCCCAAGACTCACTGCCCCAAGTGCACAAAAGGGTTCCATTGGGCTAAGTACTGTAGGTCACAACCTCAAAGGGACTCAGATCCTTTACGTTTCACCCGGGGTGCCCCTCAGCCCCACCCACAAGATGGGAAATGAAACAGATATTATTGACCCTCCAGATCCTCAATCACTCCCCACTAATGACCCTGTTCTTAGATGTGACTGCCATAAAGGGCCTGGTAGACACAAGGGCTGATGTCACCATGATATCAGAAACTGAATCCCTTAAATTCCATCATTGGAAATACCGGCCAGGCCCAACAATAAAAGGAGTTGGTGGAAAACAAGATACCAAGCTGGTCACACGTCCAGTATATTGGAAGGATTTGGATGGAAGCCAGGGCACAGTTACCCCCATAGTAGCCGACGTTCCCCATAACTTGTGGGATCGAGACGTTCAAGAAGACATGGGCGGAGTCCTTACCACAGATGACCGTGCCTTTTATGATGATATCATGCTCCACGATAACTTGGGACTATCAGGGAAAGGACAATACCTTGCCCAACACCCCCAATCCTAACAGCCACTGCCCACCCGGGATTGACTCCAATCTTGGCCCCTGAGCTGATCCCCATCACTTGGCTCTCTAATGATGGCATTTGGGTGGACCAGTGGCCTATAATAGAACCTAAATTATCTGCCCTCAAAAATTTGGTAGCTGAACAATTGAGGCTTGGCCACATCGAGCCCTCCCTCAGTAAACATAATACCCTAATATTTGTTATTAAAAAGAAATTAGGGAAATACAGACTCCTCCAAGATCTTAGAGCAGTCAATGCCCAGATGGAAAAGATGGGCTGGCTACAAGCGGGCTTACCACACCCTACAGCTTCCCCCCCATCACATTATATCATAGTACTTGATATCCAAGATTGTTTCTTCCAAATCCCCCTAGCAGAACAAGATAGACCTCACTTTGCCTTCACAGTATGGGAGCCCAACTTTCAAAGAACAGCCAAGAGATACCAATGGAAGGCACTACCACAGGGTATGAAAAATAGCCCCACAAATTGTCAATTATATGTTAATAAGGCCTTAACCAACATCCCCAAGGATTAAATTGTCATCCACTATATGGATGACATACTGTTAGCACCCAA